ACAGATGTTTGTGGATTAAATCAGATGTTCAAAGATAAAAGCAGATCTTTGCGGATATAAGCAGATGTTTGCAGGTGAAATCGGATGAAGCAGTCTTTTGCGGACTAAAGTAGATATTTGCGGATGAAATCAGATGTTTGTGGATTAATATAGATGTTCGCGGATGAAAGTAGATCTTCAAGTATAAAAGCAGATGTTTGCAGGTGAAATCGGATAAAGCAGACGTTTGCGGATAAAATCAGATAAAACCGGGTGAATGCAGATATAAATCCAAATACAGGTATTTGCGGATGAAACCATATGAAAGCAGTAGAACTAAATAGATAAAACCCGACGTTCGCGGATATTTATACCCGCAATTGCAGATAAAAACCGACATGCCGGGTAAAATCAGATATGTCGGATAAAAACAGATATAAATGGACAGAAAACTAGCTTGGTTTTTTATCCGCAATCATCCGATATTACCCGTCTTTTTCAGCAGGGAAGGTAAGAAGGTATATAAGTCTCCAGTATCTAGTATAAAAATAAAACAAGATTTACATAATTAATTTTATTAATTATAATTAGTTTATCCATCATTAAAACACTTAAGATGTTGTACAATACATTTCACATTTATATATACAAAAATGTTTTTTATTTCTCTTTTTTGGGAAAATTTGTATTTTTTGTTTTGGTTGTATTAAAATAAAAATGTTCCCAAATTAATATACCTAACATTAAAGCAAGTTATTGTCCAACCTACGAGCTTATAATAGTTTTTCCTGTATAAGTAGGTTCATGTTTGAAAAGTATATTTATTTAAATTATGAAGCAAAAAGTAATGTTTTTATTTATGTACCTACTTTCAAATGTTAGATGGGGTGGCAAATTTATTTGATAGTGCAATATTTCTGGTCTTTTTATTACAAATAAAAACCCTACTTTTTTCCATTGCTAAAGTGCAAGAATAATAAAAAAATTGCTAAAACTATAGTAAAGACTTTTTTCTTTAATTGAGTAATTCCAGTCTGTCATAAAATTTAAAAATATGGACTAAAATTTACCTAGATTATGACTTACTTAAAATAAATAACACGAATATTTCAAATTTTCTGTCTACTGGGTTGCATATCCAGGTAACCTAACAACGAAGGGGTTATTATGTGACGTCGTACTCAAATTGGTAATGCATCAAAAGATTTTAAGTAAGTCATACCAACTCTAAACAGTATAATAATTTCCTAGCTCGAAGTGACAACGTTGCTCCCTTACATTATAAGTAGACAATAGCATTTAAGGAAGACATTTTTGGCTCTGTTAGCCCGCGTACCGTTTTCTAGTAAAACAGTTTATAAAGCTATATTTTTCTTGTTAAAAAATTTTTCCAACCTAATTTTTTTATAATGTAATTACTATTATAGTCGTGTCAAATATACAATTTTTTTGTAGATTAAAGTGGTTTCCTGTACATTGCGTACAGTATATTTCATTTTTGGAGGATATTGGGTTTTTAGAATTAACCAAAATCTTCGCCTGCTAATTTTAACATTAAACCAATTTCAACTTTTACCTTGACCTTTGACCTTTTAAAATAAAAAAGTAAAAAAAGTTTTTAGCAATGCCAACTGTTGTAATTTTAACCTAAATTATAAGAATACAGGCAAAGCTTTCAGCAAACCCTTTAATTAAATTTGTATATAAATTCTCATGTATAAATAATTTTAGTTTGGTTAGTTAACTTTAGGTAAAACCATTTAATTAGCCATATTTACTTCAAACTTTAAAATCTCATTAAATTCTAACATTGACTCACTTACGTATTGACCACGATTGAAACACGAATATTATTGCCACAAATGATATGTAGTGGTTTATAAATACAGGGTGTTTACCTTATCACATGTTATTTAAAGTAATTATGGCTTTTGTAGTTTTTATTCGAATTTCTGCATTCACTTTTATAGATTTAAAATGATTGTATATTTGATTGTGTACCTACACCGAAAAGGGGATAAATTTTATAATAAAATACACTGAGAAACATTGCTTGTTTTTCGTTTTTTAGTTTTTAAATTTTAATTTTTAATTTTTTCTTTTTAGTTTTTAGTTTTTAGTTTTTAGTTTTTAGTTTTTAGTTTTTAGTTTTTAGTTTTTAGTTTTTAGTTTTTAGTTTTTAGTTTTTAGTTTTTAGTTTTTAGTTTTTAGTTTTTAGTTTTTAGTTTTTAGTTTTTAGTTTTTAGTTTTTAGTTTTTAGTTTTTAGTTTTTAGTTTTTAGTTTTTAGTTTTTAGTTTTTAGTTTTTAGTTTTTAGTTTTTAGTTTTTAGTTTTTAGTTTTTAGTTTTTAGTTTTTAGTTTTTAGTTTTTAGTTTTTAGTTTTTAGTTTTTAGTTTTTAGTTTTTAGTTTTTAGTTTTTAGTTTTTAGTTTTTAGTTTTTAGTTTTTAGTTTTTAGTTTTTAGTTTTTAGTTTTTAGTTTTTAGTTTTTAGTTTTTAGTTTTTAGTTTTTAGTTTTTGGTTTTTAGTTTTAGTTTTTAGTTTTTAGTTTTTTGAAATTCATCTTATTTGTTTTTAGTTTTTTAAAGACACTTGTAAAGACTTTTGACCTTTGACCTTTAAAATGATTTAACCCTAAATATTTCCTTTTTATGTTTCTCAGTGTCACAATATATTGTATTAGTCTTAACATTACTTACAACAGAACATAGATTTTATAATAGGAATAATTTTAAATAAATGAACCATACAATTTATTTATTTCGTAATTATATGGTTTACTTTTTAAAACGTTTTAACAACAATAAACAGCTTTAAATATTACAATAAAAAAGTATTTTTACACATTGACAATAAAAATGTGCAATTCGTTAAAAAATAATAAACATCCTAAACAAACCCGAAGTAAATTGATTGTGACATTTTAATTGACAGTAAACATTTCATAAGATTGGTAAAAAATAAGCGCCAAACTAAAACTCACCCTTATTCGATAAAAAAATAAATTAATATATCACAGAAAATTAACTTTTATAAAAATAAATTTTAGTTTGGACGCCATTAAATAAAATAGGGAGTGTATAGCTAATTTTTAGGATTGTTCGAAGTTTTTCATATAAGTATAAGTATTTTCGTAAAAAAATTAGGCTTCAAAATAAATTGTTGAATTTAGTGCATCCATTTTTACACATCACACAAATAGTTATATTTTATTTACATATCTTTATTTTTTAAAGAATGTTTCTCAAAAAGTATTTTTTTAAATAAATTTCGAGGTGTTAGTTGTAAAATAAAAGTTTTTGCATTTTAAGAAAGTTCAGTTTTGTTAAGATATTACGAAGGCGTAGAAGGGCAACAACAATATTTTTTTTTTAATAAAATTTTTAATCGACAATTGTCGATCGGTTCGACAATTGTCGATCGGACCGACAATTGTCGATCGGATCGACAATTGTCAATCGGATCGACAATTGTCGATCGAATCGACAATTGTCGATCCGATCGACAATTGTATATATACAGAGTGTTTTTCATTCGTGGTCCATTAGAAGTTTCTGGGAAACGAAAAAGATATTGATTTGAAATTTGAAGTGAATATTTTTCGAATTATTATTTTTTTTTGTTAAAATTTAAGAAATGCTTGTCAATCAAAAATAGCCTATAACTTTTTTGTTATGAGGTTTGCAAAATAGGGTTGGAATTTTTGGTATCTTAAAAAAATTAGGCCAAATTGAAGGTTAATAACTTTTTTTATTTCAAATGAAACACTTTGTATGTTTTTACATATTCAAATTGTAAATTAAAAAACCCTTTCGATTGATGTTACTATTCCCTATACCTAAAGTTAATAATTTCAGAGATATTTAACAATTTCTAAAATTTTACATATTATTTTGTATCACGAAACCTGTGACGGGTGAGTTGACGGTTTCTATCAGAGACTGGGTTCTATGGTTACCACGTAATTTGTAAAATTTAATCGCGTCAATTTGTAAAATTTAATCGCGTCAATTTGTAAAATTTAATCGCGTCAATTTTTCAGGTTGTTATAAACAATTTGTTAACTAATTAAGTGTTTAAAAATTAAAAAATTTTAAAATATTATTAATAATATTTAAGTTGATCTGGTTTAAACGGAAGTGGCATTTTGTTCAAATTATTATAGAAAAATAGACTTATAAACGCTTTTAAAATTTCAAATCGATATCTTTTTTCGTTTCCCAGAAACTTCTAATGGGCCACGAATGTGAAACACCCTGTATATATACAATTGTCGATCGGATCGACAATTGTCGATTCGATCGACAATTGTCGATCCGATCGACAATTGTCGGTCCGATCGACAATTGTCGGTCCGATCGACAATTGTCGAACCGATCGACAATTGTCGATTAAAAATTTTATTAAAAAAAAATATTGTTGTTGGCCCTTCTACGCCTTCGTAAGATATCAATCAAATTTTATTGACAATTTGCCCCAAAAAATCTAAAACACACCGTTTCGATCAATAGTGTTTTTTAAATTTAGAAAAAATACTTTTTGCAAACATTCCTCCTACAATAAAATAAACAAAAAACTTTACAACACATATATGCTCTTTTAGTACATATTAATTATAATTATTAACATATCTATTTGCACTGAATAGTACCTAGATATGGAGAGATTGGTGGCCAGTTAAGAACTTTTTACATGTAAACCTTAGACCAAATGGTGGATATTTCAAGCGCACTTTTTAGTCTAAGGTGTTTTAATTACTAGAAGTTAAAAGTAAAAAAAATATTTTTATACCCTGCTATAAGCTGTAAAGTTTTAATGCCTAATGTATATTTTTGAGTTTATAAAATTAGGATACTTTTTCTTGAGTAAAATCAAAAATATTTCAAAAACAAAACTGCTGTTAAAATTGTGTCCCAATTTGTTTTTTTTTGAAAAAGCGAATAACAAACTTAACAATTGACTACAATAGTAAAATATTTTGTTTTGTAGTTTTTAGTATACTCTATAAAAGTTTTCCCTAATTTTTTTTTAGAAAATAGATCAGCCAATGCAGCGCTAATAAAAAGAACTATCCCAGTCAATGTAAAAATTATCATCGATTTTTTTGGGTGTTAAATTATGTAGTTTCACGTAGCGCTATTTTTAAACATTGAAACAATTTCTTAACTTGGAAGTTAAATTATTAATTGTAGAATGTCGATAGCAGCAATAGTAAAACTGATAGAAAATGAGCTGACAACGTCCAGCTAGACGACAAACTATTGTTGTTATTGTTATTCGAAATTGCTTCTACAGGACCTTCGGTCATCTCTATTTCAACTGAAAGAAAAGATTAAAACATGTTAAAAAGACTTACAATATAGAATGACCAACTAAAGTCTACTCATTTAACATATGGTCCTTACTGGTCAATTCTTTCTTTTTGGATTATCTTGTCACTAATATTATTTAACATAGTTATGGGTGATTCTACAACTTTTGACCTCATTTTGTTTATATAGTTTTTGGAGAAAATTAAACAGTATTTTGTTATGAGAACATAGATAATATAATAAATATACTGTTCCAGACCGGGCTAGCCACTTTTTCAAACAGTTTCTGAAATATCTGTGTTTTCTAAATTTGAATGCAAGGGAAGTTACGAGTATACTAGGGTACTAATTAAATACATAATTTATTGGAAAATGTAAGATTTATTGCAACTTTGAGCATATTATACATTAAATATCTTAAAAATCAAATAATACCACACATCAGTGGCGGCTGGTGGATTTTGGGTATACCGATATCTCAATTATTGGATATGGGACCCACACCAAATTTATATGAGTTTATAATGACATTAAATAAACAAGTTCTGCGCAAGCAGAATTAACATTAAAGTTTGCGAAAAAAAGATAACTGACGAATGGGATACAAATTTGAGATTATAATTCGGAATTAAGTATTTTACTGATATTTTTTATTAGTGTATGCTACTTATCAACAAATCACATATAGCCTTATATAAATTACAATGAAATATATATACGTAAGAAAATAACTACTCACCATAGTACTGAAATTTTGACTGGAACTATACGTGCATTCACCACAACTTCGCCGCTTGCATTGTTTTCAAGATGACTGTCGTGCAAAAGGGCGGTAAGTAATTGTTTACCAAAACGAGGACTTGACGTTTAAACTTCAATATTTCGCAGGAATTTTGAATTTTAACATTGGACACAGAACTGACGGGTAAAAGTGAGTACAAAGATTATCAATTCTTTAAAAATTGCTTTTATTCGAATCTATAATAAAATATGAAAAATACATTATTTAATGTTTTATAGTTTGTAGTGAAATTGAAAAATTTAAGATAAATTGAATATATTTTAAAATAAAACCACACAAATATTTGATTCAGGAGTTGTGACATGCCAAGGTACTGATGTTTTGAATATTTATTATTTTTTTTACAAACGTGCTTTTGAAAAAATACATTAAAATTGGGTGGACAAGTTAAAAAAAAAACCTGGATCTTTTGTAATATACTAAAATATTAAAAAAAAAATACCTACTCTATTGACTAATGACATCAAGTTGCCCAACTTTTGTAGAATCACCCTTATGTCTAGTACGGAGAATTTATCTTCATGTTTAATTGGTATTCGCCTTGATAAACCTTCTAAAGTAAATTGTGAGACTTACTTTTTATAGTTTTTCTTCTGACGTCAGCATAGTTTTCAATGTTGTTGACATAACCAGGAATCGTTGCTAAACAGGTGAGTCTTAGCTCGTTGTCATCACCGACGTGTAGATCGGAAACTTCAATGGAAAGCTGTTTGATGGAAGAAGCTTTTTGCTCGAAGTACCCATGGCCATGAACGAGGCCGTTGGAAAAGGACTTTGTCAACTTGTCCATCACCTTTAAGATAAAACGTTAAACCTGAGCAGAATGTACTATGGAATATGGAACATAATTGCCCAGCACTAATCGACTCTATGCTAACAATAGTATCGTGTGCGGGATGCTTTATATAGACCACTAAATGACAACTAACGTGACTATCGATTTTAGCGTGTTTTGTTTGAATTTAAAATGAGTGTGCTCTGGATGCCAGGACACACTCCATGTTCCGTATTTTATGCCTAAATTTTGCAGTTTCAATGACGTAAATTGTCTATTTTAATGCAGATTGCCTCTTCAATATTTAATAGTTTACCTGGTTAAAGCGAACCACTTGGATATTTAACAGAAAATTCCGCTTTGTTTTGCGACCTTTCAGATTTTGAGATTAGGGTTGAAAATAGTAGGCCTGGGTGATAATGAACGTGAATTTGAAGTGTTAGTTAGACAAAACCATTGACAAGGGTATCAAGTATATTAATTTTTAACGTCAAATTGATAGGTGTGCCAAGAGGACAGTATTAACTTAAAAATTGTAAATGAAAATGGAGGCTTGTGCCTCATTACAATCCGTTTAACGGTTGCTAAGTAATTGGGTATTTGAGTTTTTCAAAATAATTGTACTCTTTACTGTAACACTATTTATCAATTGTGCCTGCAATTTTAATTTTTATTTTAGTGGCTTGATGAAACTTATCCAAATAGGTGGATTGGTAGGCGTGGTCCTACCGAATGCCAGCTCGGTCTCCTGATTTAACGCAACTTGATTTTTTTGTGGTGTTATTTAAAATCGAAGGTCTACATCACCGAACCGGAATCATGATCTAAATGAACGGATTATAAGTGATTTTGCGAATATTACACATTTGTGTGGAAATATCCAAGGGGGCATTTCGAACATCTAATTTGATGACTGATTGGAAATTTATTGTAATTAATAAATGAAGAACTTGTACTTCATAAATAAAACAAAAATATGAGTTGAATAAATAATTAAATAAAATTATTGAAGTAATGGTTAAAATTTTTAAGGAGGCTAGCCTTCCTTCCCAAGTAGCAAAGGCTTGCCACCGATAATGCTTTACTGTTTTATGCAAGCTTGATAAATGCATAAAAACATGCTTTTTGTTTTATTGCAGCTCTACTTTGTGCTATTAATTAATTATAACCGTTTGATCTTAACATTGATTTATTACTGTTTACCAATAATGCCTTTTTGGGGCAACTTGTCCCTAAGAAACGCCTATAGTCCAATAAGCTTTATGAAGGTTTATCATATGCCTATTGGTTTTAATGGTGCTCGGAAAGTTGGCTTTAATGTATCTGTTAAAGCCGACTCATAAGAGCATTTAGTCTTAGGACTACTTTTCCTCTATGTAAGAATGTTACAGAACCAAACAGTGAAAAGGTTTTATGATTGTTCCTAGTAGAGCAGCAATACGTTTTTAATATAACCAATTTGCTTTTCAATTTGAAATTTTGCATGAGTGTAAACCATTTTATTACTATTATTTCTTTATTAAAACGTTTTTGTCTTGATAATCGCGAAGAAAATAACTCTTGTCAACATGTCGCCGCCATGCATGAGGAGTTTTTTTAGAGCAGTGGTTAAAAGTTAAAAAAAAGTGGATATTTTTATAGAAAAACAACGTTGGCTCCTGTAATAGCTGTTAAAAGTTGTTCTTCTGTGTTGTTGTCAAAACATCCGGTTTATAATACTCATTGTATTCTTTCAACGTCCTGTTCCAACCAAGAGCTATATTCGCATCATTATATCACAGCAATTAAGACAATTTTTAGGTGTTATCGAGGGGTAAACCACTGATTTTTAAAATTAAAATTCGCTTATGAATTAATGGCTAAGGATAACAATAACAAGGGTAGTCATGCGCAACGCGTCGCTAAGAGAAGTTTCTTATTGATAAGCACTGATTAAGCAAGTTTTCCTTATTGATAACGACTGATAAGGAAAAAAATCACAACACATTGAACGTTGGTCTCTAGGACCCCTCGGGTGTTATCATCTGACAAAGCATTGTAGCCCTGATGGCGATACTTTTGATGAAAATACTGCAAAGTTGTTTTAAAATGCTCGCATAAAATTCCAATTGGTTTTATCCATGCCTTGAAAAATGCAGTCATAGGGCTTATTAGTTTTAACAAATAGTTGTAAACACTTTTTAAAGCAATTAAAACTTTTTAGCATTTCTTTGCAAGAGTACATTGTTTTATATTTGAAAAGGCCATTTAAATTAGAAAATATTGATCCGCCTTGATGAAATAATTTTAATATGAAATACGAATAGATAATATTTTTCAGAATATTTCAAAAAATTTGGTTTTTACGAGCATGGTAATGCTAGAGAAAATTTTTTCGATAAGAGATGGCTTAAAAAAACGGAATGTATATCGGGTAAGTAATTTAGCCTTTAACTTTTTTTTAAATTAAGCGTATTTTAGTAGGCATCATACGTTTTGTGTCTCGGCAATCAACTTGTATCAGTAAAGTTGTTTATGATTTTTGCATCCGAGAGTTATTGGTTGACAAAAGATAATAATTTTCTTATTAAGTTTTTAAAATCAATAATGGCCTATGCTTGTGATTCATAAGGCAACAATATACCAAATAAGTATTTGATTAAAGCAATATGGAATTTACAAAGTACAACAATAAAGTAAAAAGGTATATCAATAAGCACAAATTGTCAGCTAAAATGTGTTTACGACAAAAGCAAACTACCTCCTTAAAACCTATTGCACTGTTGACAGCTGTAAGGTAGGTTTTATAGCTGCTGTAAGGTGTGTTTTAGGAGTAATACAAGAAAGCAAAGTTGCTTTGTGGCTAACACACAAATTGCTCCTAAGGACATCGATAGGATTCTCCTTTTTAGCCCTATGATGGTTTTATCCAAGCTGCATAGCTGCTGTTAAAGCAAATCGGTTTTAACTAAGCAATGCAAATTACCCTTAAGAGTAGTTTTAACTAAGCAATGCAAATTGCCCTTAAGAGTAGTTTTATGGAGCCCTTTTATCTCTTAAAAAAACCTATTTTGCTCCTTGGGTTGGCTTTCCTGACGAGCCGCAACTGCATCTTATAACTTGTTTTATTAAAGAAAAAACCGAAGCAACCGGTTAATGAATCGGAAAATTAAAGCTCAATGGGGATCTAATTACGGATTCCGGTTTTTGGACCTCGCTTATAATGATTACGTTAGAAGTAAGCACAAACGAAAATTAACCTGGAAATTTATCGGTCCAATTAATCTGTAATTTTTAATTTTTAAGAAAATGGATATCTTTTAATGAAAACTGGCTATAACAATGTAGAGTGAGTGGTGTAATATTTCGCAGTTTTTTTCATTAGGCCGATGACTTTCTATAAAACTTTTTTTCTCTTTATTTTGACTTATTGATATTCTAACGAGTCGACTCTGTTATTGAAAGCGCCTTCATTAATTTCATAGCCTGCCTGGTCCAGGAAACGCGGTTCAACATGTGTCACTTCTATTGAAAACAAATGACATCGTCGATCTGATACTGCTGTTTCAATGTACCAATGCATGTCACGCCGATGTTTTGTGAAAATGCAAGGGAAATTGGCAAAATTTTATTTTTACTATACGAGTGCAGTATTGAAAATTTCGTTTTTCAACAAGAACTTACTTGCATTTATAGAATATGTAAATAAAATTCATTAAAATTTCTCAATTTCGTCTATTTGGATAATAGAAAATGCGAGCTTTTAGAGATGCTAATTTTGTGAGGGTGAATTTCCCTAGGCAAACTTACCGTTATTGCTAATATCAGATATGAACGAAATGAAATTTTGGATGCAATGAATTAGATTTAGCTTGTTAATGCAGGGTACGGTAGGAGCTAGCTTAGTCTAGTTATTTGTATGCATAGTAGGTTATGTGGGTTATAATTCTGCACAGTAATCTATAGATGATCTATGATTAAAAATGAGTAATTATCGGTTTTATGCCGTAATTAGGTAATAATGTTTAAGGTTTTATATGATTAGCTTTAAACACGATTTACTACAGTCTATAAATTGTGTGCTATTTTAAACCATTAAAAATGGTTTACAGACGGAATTAAGGCAAAACGCAGGTTGACCTCGACATAAGCGATTTTGACCAAACTTGGACATAAATAAAAAAAAAAATAAAGTAGGTTACAATGTACAGCATAAAAATGTAATTCAAAATTATTTTTGTTTTCTACAATTGGTTAATATTCGTGGAAGATATAAGCTAATTATTTTTATAAAAAACATAAATTTCACCCGTATAAACTGAAGACTTTACAAGCCTTAGTTGATGATTATGACGGCGAGAATAAATGAAGATCCTGAACTCATTAAAAATATTTGTTTCAACGACGAATGCACGTTTTCTCTAAATGGACAGGTCAATAGGCAAAATTGTAGGTACTGGAGTGATAAAAATCCTCACATTTTTGTAGAGAAGGATATTCATATTGGAGGAAATCTCACTGGGCTACTTAAATTTACGAAAAGATACTATTGATTTATTAATTACACAAGAACTTAAAGATCAGAGAGATAAGGATGGAAACCTGATACTTAATAAGGATAACCTTCACTTCCAACAAGACGTTTTCCTGGCAAATGGAAAAGGACCGTTAGAAGTGGCCCCCAAGATCACCAGATTTAACACCCTTGTACTTTTACTTATGGGTATACATTAAGTAGTTAGTGTGCCGATGCGCATGTTATAGCTATCTTTCTCGCACTATGTGACGTCATGTGCCAACCAAAAGCTGGCGGGTAACTGGGTTAAAATATTATTTGCACTACAAATTCACGTTATATTCGAAAATTTATAAATAAAGGTACGGCCTGGATGCAATTAAGTGTCATTAAGTGTAATTGTCAGCAAGCGCTTTTAATACTAATGTAAGATATTTTAAGAAACAATTAATTTCCTACCTTCTTATTATTATTTTTCAAAATATTTTTTATTTAATTGAATTAACTTAACTTACGCTAGGCCGAATGTAACAAAATTATAAAAATGCATTTATACAGGGAATAATAACGCACGCCCGCTTTAAAGCGTCAAAAGAAAATATTTAGTGTTAGGTTAGGTTGGGTGTTGGAGTTTCCGTTCATATTTCTGCTGTCTGCTACAGCACAGCCCGAAATATTTTAAATAGTTATTAAGTCCAACAAATATAACACAAACTTAATAAATAACCTGGCATATAACCTGGTATAAAACACCCGCAATAAATACAGTATAAACTTTACGAAAAACGTTGCAAAACCATCGTAAGTGGCTTATACTTAAAAAAACACAATAATTTCTCAAAAACTCAAAAGAAATCGTAGTAAAACACCCGTGCATAGCGTATGCCTATGCAAAACTGTTTTTAACATTTGAATCTGGTTCGCACGTAAAGTCACATGCGCGGAGTCGACGAGTTTTTCTGTATCGTGGTCTCTACTACTACACTTGCTGTGGTAGATAAAGGTAACCTTAAAACGGATATAGAAATTATCATTTGTTTTACTTACTTTTTGGTCATTAATAAGCCATGTGATATGCGGTGGTGGTTTGGCTGGGGAGGTTGTGCAATTTGCTTCAAGAACTTCACCTATTTCATAGGTATCTTTGTTGAAAGTTATTTTTGGATCGTCAGTTTGGGGTTCTGAAAATTAATTTGTTTTAAATTATGATGGTTTAATGTGCTTGAGATTTCAGCTGTTCAAATATATGAAAGTCTACTGCGAACAATGTGTTCGCAAACTGTTTCGCTATTTTATCCTAAAACAACATTTAACTAGCACCACACCTTTTACCAACGTGTTGGCTCTCTATAAAGTCAATACAATTGAAGAAAAACACAATTCCACAATTGGTTTACATTTAGGTACAAAGGGAAAACATACACACATGCAATTTTACATTGGACTTCAAAACGTCAAAAAAGAATCAAATAAATATTCTAATTAAATGCTTGAAAAAATAGGCATAAAACATATGCTTAGTATAGTTCTCCGACTGGATTATATTGTACTTTTGTAACTCGGTTCTTTTAACAATAATTATTTTTTATCTGGATTGGAATTAATTTGATTAAAACCAGTGGACGTACAAGTTTGGAAAGCAGAAAATAATAGATGGAAATTGGAGAATATCAATATTCTCAGAATTTTTGAGTGCAAAGTTAAATTACCAAAGTTTAATTATTCAGTATTCTTATAATTGGATTCAGATTAGAAAACCGAGAAGGGTTTTTAATAAAAGAAAAGTAGGCGAGATGCTTAGCTTTTGAAATTTAAACACGAATTTAATTTAAAAATGCGTGTTAAGTGTGGTTTTGTTTAAAAATTATAATGGTAATTATAGTATACAGGGAGAGTCTTTTTACTTGAAACATTAAAATATCACTAAATAGGCATATAACAAAAAATATTCAAAATAAAAATTAAATGATTTCAGGAGGTAAATAAATTAGTACCATAATTATTCCCCATACTCTCATCCTTAGGGAGGGCATGGGGTAACTTTAAAATTTCCAATGGAACACCCTATTTTTTATTGCAGATTCGGATCATTCGACTAAAAATAGGTAGATTTTATCAAAAACATTTTTTATATTTGTTATTACAAGATAGATAGCGCTATAATAATAAAAATCAAATTTGTTCTATTTTTCTTCTGTATACGATTCTGCAATAATTTTTCTATAAAATTCTTGTTGGTAGTTATAAATAATATAAATTTAGCTCAAAACAATTTTTATTTTTCGAATTTTTATTAAATTACGTGCTAAAGTAAGTAGCGTATCTGCTGAAATTCGGCACAAGCATTTCTAATTTTCTCAGTTATATTTTCACGGGTTGTTGGTACTTATTGATACACACGGTATTTGAGATAGCTCCACAAAAAGAAGTCCGGCGAAGTAAGATCAGGTGATCTTGTAGGCCAACTAACCGGACCAGCTCTACTAATCCAACGACGATTAAAATTGCGATCAAGTACTTCAAGTGCTAACACCGAATAGTGTGCTGGGCAACCATCATGTTGAAACCACATTTTCCAAAATATCTCGGTACATTTCGCCATTTAAGTCCCCTTTAATGATGTAGGGACCAATAAGTTTGTTGCCAACCATTCCACACCACACGTTGACAGTCCAAGGACGCTGATGTTTAACTTAACGGAGCCAACGCGGATTTTTAACACTCCAGTAATGCATGTTGTGCCGATTTACCGTTCCGTGGTTCGTAAAAGACGACTCGTCGGAGAACAATACAAAATGGAACAAATTGTATTTTGTTGTATTTATTCACGTGCCCACTGCCAAAAAATTACCCCATTTTAAAAGTACAAACCATAAAGCTCCTAATGTAACGAAATGTGTATGGTAATTTAATATTCTGATAACACTGCTCTGGGATGTTCCGGAATCGCGAGATAATTCTCGTGTACTTGCATGAGAATTAGCAGCAACGGTGGCTAATACATTAATTTCATAATTTTCTCTGGTGACTGTTGCTCGACAAACTCTTTTTTTCGGTTGAACATTTTCGTTTGTAGTAAACTGCTTGACTGTACGTTGAAATGAAGCACGCGATCAAATTTTTTCCGGAAAACGCTGAGCGTAGATATTAACGGCATCATCAAGATTTCTGCCCGCTTCTCCATAAATTAAAACCATTTCTATTTTTCTTCCACTGTTAAAAAATCCATTATGAATACCTAACTGCTCAACGAAGACAGGTCTTTTTATTTGCAAATTAATTTTCGAACTAAATAAAATTTATTTTAGTTGTTTCTAAATGATGTCTCGTTTTTTGAACCCTAGGATAAAAGTTAAAAATATGTAAAACTAATTAATCTTGATTGATAAAATAACACCGATCGACACGATTTTTGGATCTGGCTTCTGCATGTGAAATTTTGGTTTCTCCTATGTTATAAATAAAGGAAAACATAATTTTCTGATCAAAGTTTCCTTTCGTATAAACTAAAGCAATTTTTTGAATGTTCAAGATTTTTATATTTTGTTTTTATAATTTTATTTTTAATTACGATTTACAAAGTTGTTGCTGAACATCAAAGTCTTTTTAATTCAAGAATTGTGATAAACAATAGTATATAAATGTAAAATAACAAAAAATCAAGTTAAAAAATGAGTATTTTTAGTACAAATGTAATCTCACATCATGTACTGTCCTTGGTAACGTCGTTCAAAGTCCATCATGTCTTGGTGAAAACGTTCTTGTTGCTCCTCTGAGTAGGCACCTATATTGTCTTTAAATTGATCCAGGTAAGAATGTATGGGACATTCTGCAGCCCATAATTTAAAAGCTTTTAAGCATGGTTTCAATCAACTCTTTATAATTATCAGCTCTGTTGTTACCAAGAAAACCATTAAATACTGCTTTAAGACTCTCCAAGGCTTATTTCTCATAATAGTAGAGGATCCCAAGTAAGGTCGACCTTCACCCATCTGCTTACCAGATGAAAATTATATTTTATCAAATAAAATATGTTTCTGAACATAAACCAATAGGGTTGCCATAAAAAATATGATCAAGGCTAGCTATAATAAATAAAAAATTAAAAAATAATAATTAATTTTTTAAATTTCACCGACTTGCTTGCCAAATGAACGAAATTCCAATGGAAAGCATACAACATACAGAATATGTAACAGCTAGGTTGCCTACCTTTTTCTGGTCCCTATTACCTGGTTGCTTTGTACAGGGTGATCCCCTATAATGTCGCCCCCCTTTAACTTTTTTATTTTAAGTGTCCCAAAAAATTTAAAAGTTTGGTTATGTAGGTACTAAAAAATACTTTTTTTCTACGTATAAGGAAAATTGGAAAATTGATCAGTATACAGGGAAAAACAAAAAGTTTATTTTTTTTCAATGGATCACCGTATATATGAATTTATTTTTCGATTCCTTGTAAAATTCTGAGCATAATTTATATAACAAACCATATACCTAAATTCAACCGTTTCTGAAATATTCGCATTCGAAATGTCATCATTAAATGTTTTTTTTAAACTGTTAGAAATCAAGAAGCCTCAGTAGACCAAAATTTTTATTGAAAATAAATTACTATAGTGACATTATGTCAATAAGTGTTGTTAAATAAGTAAAAATGGCGTACTCAGACAGAGAAAAACAAACTATTTCAACTTATTATCTTAAAAATAATTTAAATATTTCAGCAGAAACGGTTGAATTTAGGTATATGGTATGATATATGAAATATGCTTAGAATTTTACAAGGAATCGAAAAATAAATTCATATATAGGGTGATCCATTGAAAAAAATAAACTTTTTGTTTTCCCTGTATACTTATCAATTTTCCAATTTTCTTTATACGTAGAAAAAAAGTATTTTTTAGTTCCTTCATAACCACACTTTTAAATTTTTTGGGACACTTAAAATAAAAAAGTTAAAGGGGGGCGACATTATAGGGGATCACCCTGTACAAAGCAACCAGGTAATAGGGACCAGAAAAAGGTAGGCAACCTAGCTGTTACATATTCTGTATGTTGTATGCTTTCCATTGGAATTTCGTTCAATTGGCAAGCAAGTTGGTGAAATTTAAAAAAATAATTATTTTTTTAATTTTTTATTTATTATAGCTAGCCTTGATCATATTTTTTATGGCAACCCTATTGGTTTATGTTCAGAAACATATTTTATTTGATAAAATATAATTTTCATCTGGTAAGCAGATGGGTGAAGGTCGACCTTACTTGGGATCTTAGACTATAAGCATTTAGGGATTCTGTGAAATCATCACTGCTCATTATTTGTGGTCCGACGAAAATACCCGCTTTTACTTTAGCTTCGGATAATATGGGAAAAGCTTCAGCCAATTTTATATATCTAAAGGCGGCATCAATATATTCTTAGGCTCTACAAATGGTTTCGACTTGAAATTATGTTTTCCTATCTGAAATTCAACTCGATCATGCCATATACGCGTTTGTGATGTATTCTGATGGGATTTTACCTTGATTCTGGATTTTGAGGTTAAAATAGGCTTCATAACCTTCGCAAAGCTTCAAATTTGTCGTCAAAGCAAATTACTTTAATAAATTCACCGCAAATAAAACATAATGAATCAACATCTACACTGTCTTTGGTGCCATTTTCTAACTTAGTAATACACAGGGGAGGTTATTACAGCTGTGAAAAAAAAAAAAACGTACGTACTGCCGTAAATCAGACAAAAGCAAACTTTAAAATTGTAGATTTAAGTGATTTTAGAATTTTTGTCGACTTGTTTAATGTATAAATCAAAACTTTAGGAAACTTGGATATTAGTAAAAAAAATCGTTTTTCAAATTAAATTTAATAAGATAATTATTTCCAATGTAAAAGTGATATACCACTTTGTTGCAAAATTGGCGGATGCGCCGGGTTAAATATTAAGCCCAGCGCATTCACCATTTTTGCAACTTGGAAATTTATCGATTAAATTCCCATTTTTTTTTTCAGTGCCTAAAAATCCTATTTATTCAACGATAAATACATATTCATTTTAAGATATTTCTGATGACATCACACAATCGGGACAGTTCCAATCTCGTTAGGCGACAAGTGTGTTTGTTATTTTTTTCAATAAAATAAAAACATCCGAAAAACCCAATAATGAAAACACTTCTTGAACGACAAAGGCCAATTTCACACTCCACCGGTCCTTTTGTTGTAGTCTAGTGGAAAAGCAACACAGTAACAGAAAACGAAGGAAACCAACGAACACGTAGAAAAACGAAAACCAAAGAGAAAAAAGCATTTCTTTTCAAACGCTTTTTTCTGGGTAACTAAATTTTTGACACAACAATCAAAAGAATATTTTGTATTCAAAGGTACTAATTTTTATCGCTCTTATTATACAGTAATATTTAAATATGCAGGTATAGAATACCGACCTATGATTGTTAGATCCTTGCTCTCGCTGTCTTTGGTAAATATTGGCGTTTCCATCGAAACCACGCACGAATACGATCCAGAGGCGGCAAAATCCAATTTCGACAGCTGGATTTGTTTTTCGCTGCTGTGAGTCTCCTAAAATAAAAAAATCACGCATAATTTAAGTAAGAAACATCAAGACGGTGTTTAACCGTCCATTTAAATACACATACACAAGTTGTGGCCATATGGCGTTGAAGTTAGCAAAAGGTTTTTAGTCACGGGCTGATGTTAGCTTTAAGTTAGTTGATAGTTGTCAAATGTCATACAATCGATAAAATAATATTGTGGACATTATTTTATTATCTTAATACAAAAATAAAAAGTATTAAATAATTTCCCAACGCTAATACCCATTTAAAAACTTTATATGACACTTTAATTTTGCCGGCAGTGAACTAGATTTTACTGATTAAAAATGCCTGGTGTAGACTCCACCGTGAAGTGTCCATAAAACATTCTCTTCAATTTTACTGTAAAAAACTGATTCTGTATCATCCTTTAAACGGTTGTTAGTTCATTTTCAAGGGATAAATTTCGATTTACATACACAAATTTGACAGATTCCCTTTAGTCTATTGTTTTACAAATATTTAATTTAAATCATTTTTTATTATAGAAAAAACAACACTCGTTTATAAACTTTTCTAGACACTAATTTAATTAAAAACTCGTACGCAAGCTCGCTCATTTAATAATAGTGACTAAAATAGCCTTTATCAAACTTGACACATAATATACTATTTAAGGGTTTTGAAAGTATTTTGATGCATTAAACAAAAAATAATTTAATTATTATAATGTATAAAATGAAAAATACAAAATTTAAACACTATTTTGTTAAATATATAAAATTATTTTTTTTATCTGGACTGCGGCAACGTTGCAAATTTAGGGGTTTAGTTGGTAAATACGAAACCAAAATTGGTTGCATTGATTAAAACAAACTAAACTATATATAGTTATAAATGTAATTATAATAATTTTAATGTTGGTTATCTTAAAATCATTGTCAAGTTGAATCAAGTTGGGTTGTTAAAATCCGAAGTTATAAATGCAATAGATGAGTAAAATCATATAAAAAGTAGTTAAATATAGGTGACTACGGCCCAGAAGAGACAAAGTATTCCTGGCGGATAATAATCTTCGCTTTGAAAAGAATTTATATAAAAGAAATTAAAATTTTTATGTGAATGGGTATTTTGTTAAAGCCACGTTAATACTTGTAGTAGCTTAATAATAATTATAATGTATATATTGTCCAGGACTATCAATGATCAGTAAAAATTAACTACTAGATTTTTCACGAAAAGGTTGAACCCAACAGCAAATAATTTTTTTTTTATTTCCCACTTATTTTTTAAAATTTCAAAAGTTTTTGATCTGCTTAGCTGAAAATAATGTGTGATTCAATATTTGTAAAACCAAAAACGTTACTTTTTTACTCCAGAAATGTCCATAAGGCGATGTACTTTTTCTGTCATTGAGGCTTTTTTATATAACTTTATCGAAATAAAGTTTTGCCTTTAAAAGTTCTTTTACTTTAGAATCTGATATTATTTTTGTCATATAATAAATATTACTGTCAATTTGACAGTGTCAGAGTATTTAATTAAGGTCTTCAGCAGAAGTACAATTTTTTAAATACTAAAAATACTAAATCAAACCGGCATAAGCTACCAACTTTATAAAAAAACACGAGTCAAAATAAAAAAAACTGAACTGTACATATTATACTACCTGAAATATTCGGTTTTCGTTGGGCCACCCTGTATATCAAATTTAAAATATCTAAACCACGTTGAAAGACTAATATTCGATATAACAATAAATAATAAAACCATGTTATCAGCAATAATACATTTAATAAATTAAGTAATCATCAAAAACTTTAATAATAACCATTTAATATTGACATTTTATGCTTTTTATTACTTTTACAAAATAGGTTGATAAAAGTTTTAAATACTTATATGATACAACCCCTTGTTAAATCCAAACAAGGTATTATATTTATGAAAAACAAAAACAGGAGTGTAAAACGTAATTTGCCTAATTGATACCTAAACACGCCTCATAGGCCGCCTATTATATACGTAACGACATATAACAGATTTCAACTTTATATGATACAATCCCTTGATAAATCCAAACAAGTATGAAAAACAAAAACAGGAGTGTAAAATGTAATTTGCCTAATTGATACCTAAAACCGCATATCATAGGCCGAATATTATATACGTAACGACATATAACAGATTTCATTTATGTAGAGTACGTATGATTATAGAGCCTATACATAGGTATTATAATAATAATGATTGGATAAGGTGTGCGCTGAACTAAGTATGAATTAAAATGAAAATAATATTGCAGCACAAGCTTCTATCTCCGTGGAGACAGCTTGTGCGTTACGCTTGAACTTCTTGTGTGCCTTAAGGGGTTATCCATGGATTACAATTGCAATTGTAATAGATTAATATTATTACTCAATTAATAAATATTTTAATGGTGATCTTTATCAATATTTTTTGTAATGTTATGTTTAGTAGTTTGTGAAACACATTTATTTATTTATTATTTGTCTTTCTCTTGTATTGTTTTATTAATTTTTAAATTATGTTATGTAATTATCTATATTTGACGTGTTTTACACCTTCTGGTATTTTTAAACAAATAAATATTATTATTATTATTATTGTCTAAGCCTTGTACAATAGTGTTGTTGTAATTTTCTCTATAAATATTTTTCTTTAATTTACTTTGACAGTAAACAATGATGACAAATTAAAATATCACTTCTTAATGAAAAACCCTTGTATATGTATAATAAAAAAACAAAAAAGCAACGCTTCAAAAACAGCTTTGTTATATACGATTATCCTTCTCGTACTGAATTTATTAGCGCAGTTAAAACCAGGGATTAAAACAAATTTTATATGTGGCGTATTTTTTAATTAAAAAAGACCGAAGAGAATTTTTCTTCGTTTGTGTTTTTTTACTAGAGCTAATTTCGTTTATAAATTAGTTTTGTCGTAGTGGAAAATGGTTTTCTTCATTAAATCTAACAGGACAGGGTTCACAATAATTAAGTTAAGTTAGAGGAAGTCATAGGTGATAGGTGATAAGAGAGCAGTATCAACTTAGACATTTAAAATAGAAATATGCGCTCACATATTTCACAAAATTGTACTCTGCGATCCATTTTCCAACGAAATAAAAAGTAATATTGCAGGCACAACTGATTTTCATTAAAGACTACAAATATTTTATAAACCGTCTTAAAACTAGCCATTCAAAATGTATCTTGGGTAAAAATTTAAAAAGTTTTGAAAATAACTTTTTTTTAAATTTTATGACTTGCAGAATAAATCCACGTATACTTCAACCTTTTTTAAATTTACGTTATCGGGTAAAAAAAATCACGTAACTAACCTAAATAGATAATATTTTCCTATAAACGGCAAATTTATAATTGTCAGATAATCAAGCAACATAGTGCTTATTCGTGTATGCTGAATTATTCATCAGGATTTGAAATCCCTTATTATGTGCTTTATTTGAATATTTTGTTGACAGTTCATTTCAAGTGGCAAACAAATAAAAATTAAAATTTATTTTTTATTGAAATACAATAACAGTAAATATGTCAAGTCGAGACAAGACAAAATATAAGTATTAATAAACACACACACAGAAATTCATTTAATAATTTTTTCCTGAGCCTATTTGGTAAATTATACTTCTTACAAAATAAAAAAAAATGGAACAGAGCAGGGATATTTTTTTTATATTTGTTGAAATTAAAAAAAATGCTTGGTACAAACTGAATTTTCAACACCAATACACAAGATATTAACAATTCTTACTTTTTCATGAAGAATAGAATATTGCGCAAATGCTAAGCTATATCTAAGGCTGTTTGATTAAAAATACAGGGTGTCCCAGAACTCGCGCCACAGATAGCAAATAATGATAGCAAATTTAAAATATTTTTTTAAAGGTAATATTGTAATCAAATGAAAGCAAAAAAGCGGCAGCTTTTAAAAATCTTTTGTCCTACTGTGTTTTAAGGAATGTTATGCTTCAGGACGTCAATATTTTAAAGTAAAAATTAAACAACTATAGTTTCCACCCCAGAGCCAAAATCTCTAGCAACCACTACAGAATTCCACTTTAGCGGGATTATCGCGTAAAATGAACGTCCTTCACAATCCGCTGAACTGTGAACCGGAAATTCGGGTGCAACTTCTCTTATGCTCTTCCTACTATTTGCATCAAAGGCATTGAAAATAGCTTCTTTATTTTTCGCTGTTCTAATACGTTAAGGAGCAACTTTAATTTTGTTACAACGCAGAACAACTTTACAGTCCAAGGGCGATCGGGAAAGCACTGGGAAAAAACTCGCGCTGCCTCCTTATAGGGATACACAGAAAAAACTCTTTGATATAGTCAATGACAATGCTATAATTGATTGTTTTTTCATTTCTCCAATAAAAGTTAAAGTTTATTCAATCAAATAAGTTTGGAGCAATTGAGGGTAAGGGATTAATGTTATTATAAATATTATATTCAGCGCATAACAAAAAAATTACTTGTTATATTGTGAATTAACAATATTTAATTAAAAATAAAATTGATTTATATTAAAAGTTATAATGCTTCAACCAAAAATTAAAAACAAATGAAATAAGTCTTTATTTCTTTTATTGTTTATGATTTTTATATCAATGAAAACATAAGTAAAGTAAGTTATTAGTGTCTTTCAGTGAATACCAATGTTTTCACTGTCTTAAAAAATACTTGTTATTTGCCCAATTATCATTCCCATTTTTTCAATTTAATGATTGTTAAAATTCAGACAAACGCGCCAGGGGATCCCCTGCCACATCACACATCGGCAACCTGCAATCGCGTACGTGTGCATAGTTAAATGTGATCAACTGATTAATCGGTATTTCTGGTGACGTCGATTGATGTAAGTGTATGCGTTATCTCTGGTGTAGGTAGTGTTTGGTTGTTTGTTACATCTGCTAATTTCTTGGAAGTTGTACCCCCTAATCCCAAATTTTCAAGGTAAGTTGTACATGTTTTTTAATTGTATTTCCGCCATGCATTAAGCAGTAATTTAATTACTCAATTATATCTAAATGATAACAAAAAGGTAAATGTGTACTCATATATGTAGGTATATACCATGGACACAGTTTATCTTGATATTCGGTGCCATGCCTTAAAATGGCTATTTTGCTTGAATGTACGAAGTTTTTATTTATTTATAAAAAAACTTCTCATAGTCCTTCTGTACCATCATGATATCCTTGCAGGGCGTCCTGAAAGTATAATATATAATATTGCTTTAGGACTTTTAGCATAATATATTATATTGCTTAAGGACTTTTAGCAATCTTTAGGATTCGCCTCTAAATACATAAGATAAAATTCCTATTTCGTTTTAGAATAACCATGAACCATGGCAGACAGATCCTGCACATCCAGTACAGTAACTGTTGCTAGTGATGGGTCAGCAAATTTTTTAGAGCCTAATATCACCAACACTTTTACTCGGTTTCTAATAGTTTCTACAGAAAACCGAACAATTTCATTTTATGGATCGAAAAACCTACACAAGACTACCGGCAGCAGTTTCCAGAATTCATTTTATTTATAGTTCATATTAATGTATTATACAACTAATATTTTCACAAGAATATACACTGAAAGAAATATATACTAAAGTTAAATAAAAAAATAATTAGGGCAAATATATTTTATGTTTCATATATAGACTACCACATACATTGCTAAAACAAATATATTCGTTTGGTTAGCAGCCTATTGCTGCCCTAGCAATATAAATGGTGTTTCTAGCAATATTTTTTTGCTGTAATTCACTTATAGTTTACATTTTATAGTAAGGGTAAGTTTATTTTTATTCAGATCTAACATATCTTCTTTACAATAAATGTATTACAAAATTTACCATACATTCATAATAAACAGTAGTATAAATGTGTAAAGCACTAGTATAAAATTTTTAGTATAAATTTGTATTTACTTTTAGCAACAAATTTCTTTCAGTGTACATATTTAAAGGAATTAGAGCTTTGTTTGCATTTAATGTAACCATTTATTAGAAACCATAACTTTAATTTATGCCAATGATAGTTTTTCATTAAGATTCATAGGGGCTTAAATTAAATAACAATTTAATTCAATAATTTCTTATGTTTTAACTAACTAAGTTTTAATACGGATTTAATAGAATCACAATTTAATTCAATGATTTCTTATGTTTGAACTAATTTCAAGCAGGTTTGCACAGATAAATGTAAGACAACCATTTATTTGATTATAGCTGTAATTCAGGTATTGCAAATACAGTACACCATTGGTTCAATGTTTATCCCATTCACAATATGAAAGCTTTTTCTTTCTGTAGCATTGCGCCCATACTCCTAATAAATAATCATCATTTCGGCATAATCAGAGGAAGTAAACATAACTTAAAATGATAAATAATTACAGGAACAATATTTACAGCAGTGTCACAATGAAGTGGATTCCAGTCGAACAAATATTTAACATATTAAAATATCAACAATCCTAAGTATCCTTTTAAAGATTCCCTATGACCATGTTTTGGGATTTGCTATAGCGAGACAAGGATAAAAAACGGTATACCGTTTTTTATCCTTGTCTCGCTTAAACTTGCGTTAGATAATTTATTTTTCAAGTATATGTTTCATGCAACTTTCGGCCCGTTCCCTTTTTATAATTTTAACTATGAATTTATTAATTTAATACCAAAAATAACCCTAATGACATACTCTTGTTTAATAAAAATTGTATTGCTTTTTTCTAGCAATTAAATAAAAGTGCAAATCCCAATTAAATTAATTAGTAATTAAGGCGGTCTGGGATCGCTTTAATCTGGGGCAATAATTTATCTAAAACAGATATAAACCTTCTTCTATAGCTATATTAAATTTCCTCTAGGAATATAATCCTATATAAATTGCCATTCAGAGATCCTTAATGAATACATTCGCGTTAAATAATCCCAGGATTATTATTTCATAATATTCTTCTAATAAAACATTTATTTAATACGTTTTTATATTTCTTTAATTTGATTTATAGTAAATCTGTTATCATGCTCCTTACAAAACACAAAACTCCGATGTCAAGTCATTAATTTTGTATAAAAAATCTTCTTATTTTTGTCTTGATTTTTCCCGTTGGTGCTGCAGGAAAACAATGGATTTCCAGACCATGTATTCGATGCTACGCATTGGCAGTTTCAGCAGTGCCTAGCAGGAAAGCATCGTTAAAATAAATGTTGTGTGTCTGCCGGACCTTGTATATGTTTTTAGTTCGGTCACCGGAAACGAGGTCTTGTTTGGCCATAACGAGCCAGCAGGAATTAGGAAAAGGGGTTTTAACGCCATGAACATAATATGTATGATGAGAATAATTATTGTAATAGGACTGTACTTTTACCTTTAAAACGCCCATTATCGTGCATGTTTTATAATTTTTTTGGGATATGAACTAAAAATTTAAGGGGCGCCGTTGAAAAAAAAATCAACTTGGTAAATAACAGACACGTTCATACTGACCTTTCGATTTTCCCGGCAGTAAACGAGTATTTACCGATAAAGCTATAAAAACATCCTCTTCACTTTTACTGTAAAAAACTGCTTCTGTATTGGATTTAAACGGTTGTTAGTCCATTTTCAAGGCAGAAATTTCGATTTTTGCAGAAAAATTTGACAAACTGACACTGAAATTTTAAAAGCCGGTAACACATATTCCTGACACCAATTTTAGTCCTGGAAAAACTATAGTATCTACTAATTGCTATTTGTCTAGCTTTTGATCTATTTTGCACAGACATTGTTTACGATATATTTGCGAACGAAACGCGCTATAGCAAATAGCGTTAATTGGGAAAATTTAAACATTATCGGGTGTTAAATGGTATCCTCAGTGCTGCCAACGTTAATCAATTAATTAACCAGAGCATGGTGATAAAACACGGTAACAGGATATGTTTAAAATCAGCCGATAGAATGGGAACCTAATTTGCTAACTTTCCGAACGCAAATCAAACAGCTTTATCTATATGAGTAAATATTGAAAACCCCATTTCACCGGTGATAAAATACAGGGTGTTACAACCAAAACGAATCAAAGAAGTTTTGAGGGGGAAAGAAAATTTTTAAACGACACACATAAAAATCTAAAATCTAAAGGTTCTTTAAAAAATATTAGCGTGGAAGCATTCATTTTAATTACTTTTTAAAAGTTCAAATTAATTCATCCAACTTTCTCTTTTAACAAATATTTTATCTCTTAGACATGATTGTTTTAATAAAACTTAGAAAATCGCTCCGAAAGATAAAATTGGACTGGTATTGTTCGAAAGACTAACAAAAGTTTTCGTTTGACACGACAAAAAACGTTATAAATGAGGCCTTTAATTTATTTCCAAGTTTTCGAAGAAGAGAATATTGCTTAAAGTACAATTAAAACTAATCGTTTTATTGTCGTAACTTAACTGCACAATTTAGGAAATAATGATAAAAAAATGTTGTTGCCGTTTACTGGTTGCCCCGAAGTAGTCTTTTTGTTGTAGTATTTATGTTACGCAATTTGGGTTTCTAGGATAATACCTAATGGATACATTCACCAATTAAATGTTCGAATTGCTCCCCCTTGCTTTCTTGACAGTAAGCAAGCCTATCTGAAAATTCTCTGAGAACGTTTTGGATGACTTCCGCACTAATAAAGCGACATTCTTCACGAATTTGATATTTCAAGTCTTCTAAATTTTGTGGTCTGTTGATGTAGACCTTTGATATAAGGTGGCCCCATAAGAAATAATCCTGTTGAAACCAAATGGTATCACTTGGTAGATCGGGGATCTCCAATCTCATTGAGAAATATTTCTGCTAATACGTTTATCTTGTCATATTTTAGTCAAAGCAGATTTTTTACCATTCCTGCCCAGACATTTACTTTTTACCGGTATTGGAAATTTGTCTCTACTACCCAATGAGGATTTTCTCTGCTCCATTTCGACGGTTTAAATTTAAACAGAAGGTAGCTCCGTCAGAAAAAAAGAATTTTACGATGATAGTTTTACAAAATTGTACACAGAAAAAACGCTAGCATAGCATGAATGGGTGAGCCATTAAACCAATGGGATCTTGTAATTCGTAACAGTTAGCACTTGGTTTATAATCGTTTACTGTTTTTAAATTAACAACAAAAGTTATCGCTCCTAAATCTATTGATATTTATATTGATATTTATTTTCATTTTATGTTAGAATGTTATTGCATTAAATACTAATTTGATTTATTTAACTCAATAAATAAACTAACATGTAACGTGTAAATTTGGTGAACGTAAAAGTGTTTAAATTTGTAGGTTTGTACATTTTAATATCTAAATTATTGTAGTATAAATATTCCCGAATAATTGGTATAATTAGTTTACACAAATGCCTTGTGTAAAGATAAATATTCGATCATTTGGCTTGGCGTCATCGATCTGTCTATTCCGCCATGATGGCTGCTGTTTTAATAAACCACGCTTGTAATCGAAATTATGTAAATTTACATTTGAACCATCTCGTATTATAATTTAAATTCTAAATAATAAACATTTTGTACTTAATTTTATCTAACTAAAAGGGTTGTACTGGATTTTATCTAGCTAAATGTCAGGGTTGTACTTGATTTTATTTAATTATTTTTATAAATATTTCTTAAAGGGGATTTACCATAAACGCTGTGTAAATTAAGTGTACTTGGTATCGATTTTATTGAATACGGGATTTATTAACTTGTACTCGCAGATTCAAATCTATGTCCTGTAATAAGTTAAGTGATTTTTACCAGTCATATTAAATTATTTGGTATTACATTTGGAGTGTGAGCAACGGTGATTGTGCGATAGCAACATTTAATTTATACCACTGTCCGTGGTGTCCTGAAATAAAAGCCCATTTTGAATTACTTTTCTGTAAATGCATCATCTGACTGCGCGACGCAGACATTGTTTTTGTTATTTGTGTCATTTTGATTACCTAGTATTTTATGGTAATTATTAATTTATTAAAGTTTGTTATTATAGGGTACTGAGACGCAAGTAGCTGATTTGATCACAAAGCTTATTAATTATTATCTCATAAAAAACGATTTCTACCACTTGTTGGATAAAACATTGTATGCCACTCGTGTGTTATGTTTCCTAAGTGACTTGAGAATTTATACCATTTATAAATCTTTCTCGCGTGACTTATTTTTAACATAACACACTAGTACCATAAATAACTATTATTTATTTATATTATATTTGGGTTGTGGTTGCAGTAAGGAGATTTTGTGTGGTTTAAAGGGTTTGTAGGGTATCCATTTTTTCCAGAAAACAAGTTAAATGTCGTTTGGGTTACGGTTATTGTTGTTGCTTTATCCAAATAAATATCATTATTGTTTGTTATAAATTTTAGTTTTTTATTTAATAGAAATAAACGGGAGCCTTCCAGGTGTTTGACCTGGGTTCAAACGTGATTTATTGTCATATATTTACTGTATTTATTATTTCCCTTTTAATACTTTCCCCATGAATACAACACATCAAAAGTACCTTTGGGTTACTAAATTAATGAGCTTTATTACCGTAAGTATTTATTTTATTTATTTGTCGCAATTTAATATAACATTTGCCGTTGTGTTATATTTCATTTTATCACTCGGGGTGTAACTTTTACAGATACTTTGCTGGGGGGGTTTGTAGGCTTACAGTGTCTAGTTATATTGCCACATCCTACACTGTTCAAAATTTCATGACCATTTTATCACCAAATTAACACCATACGTGGTCTATATCGATACAAACCAAAATGGTGTTTAATAAGGTTCGTTGGTCCGGTGAAAATTCAAATACTAAAATGGTGTTAATTTAACTTTCACACAGTATTAAAATAAATTTTACCTGGTGTAAATTGAACTCCTTTTCAGTGTTAAATATTATGTGTTTGTGGTCAAATTAAATCATACTACACAGAAAAAAGGAAAAAAAAGGAAACAGAAAGTTCCTTGACGCATTACTAGTATATTACCAGTGGTATTATTCCAGAAAATTGAACCTTCAACTCGCTAGAGATAATGTTTTTAGTGCGTTCCACTAACTTAAAATACTTCAAGTATTGACAGTTGTTTCCACCTATTTAAGGTCTCTTTAGTATCGAACAACTTGTAGTGTCACGCCAAAGCAAAGAACCACCTTAGTTTATACAATGTGTCCCTAAACTTAGTGGCATAAATTTAGGAGCAGATTAAGCAAGTCAAAATATGACGAAAATCTGAATAAATATTTTTCCTAATTACGTATGTTTAAAAGATACAGGGTGATAAAGTGTTACTTATCATATCAGTTTTTTAATATAACTTCTACTATGGTAGACTTGGAAAGGTGATATTTTGCGAACAGTCACTTACTACCAAAACACATATTCACACATAATTACAATTGTTTGAGTGAACACAGTGTCGTAGAAACGGGGGTTGCTTTAAGCTTATTGTCCCATACAAACTTTGAGGTTAGGTTTTTGTAACATTTGATGCAATTTTTCGATTAAACAGTTCGGCTACCATTAAAAAGGTGTACCTCTCAAACTTCGATAAAATAAACCGTTTCCGAGACATTCGAGATTACAATAATTGTTATATCGCATTATTTAAAACGATTAAAAGGTATATGATAACTAATTTTATTTTTTAATTGAATAAACTAAAAAGGGCATTCCATGAGTCTCGGGACTTTTTGCCCTGACCGTCAAATTAAAAAAAATGTAGTTTTTTCAATTAAAAAATTTGTTAACATATACCTTTTAGTCCTTTAATTCGATATAACAATTATTGTAATCTCGGAAACGGTTAATTTTATCGCAGTTTGAGAGGTACACCTTTTTAATAGTAGCCGAACTGAGTAATCGAAAAATTTCATCAAATGTTATAAAAACCTAACCTCAAAGTTTGTATGGGACAATAAGCTTAAGCAACCCCTGTTTCTACGACACTGTGTTCACTTGAACAATTGTAATTATGTGTGAATATGTGTTTTGCTAGTAAGTGACTGTTCGCAAAATATCACCTTTCCAAGTCTACCGTAGTAGAAGTTATATTAAAAAAAACTGATACTTAAGTAACACTTTATCACCCTGTATCTTTTAAACATATGTAATTAGGAAAAATATTTATTTAGATTTTCGTCTTATTTTGACTTGCTTAATCTGCCCCTAAATTTATGCCACTAAGTTTAGGGACACCTTGTATATTCTTCATATAAGTCAACAGAGGCGAGATTTAAGAACATAACGTGATCAACACCGCCTTTGCCGCGATCGGTACACATTTTCAACCATAATTCATGGTGTTATATTAACACCACTTGGTGTTGGATTTTGACACCATTTTAAGATTACTTTTTACACCACAGATATTTTAAACAGTGTATGAAAATTAAAATATAAGCTAACAAAGAAATATAAAATAAAAAACTTTCATATATCGACATTTGCTATTTGCAGAATAACAAAAAACAATAATAAAATGAAATAACTTGAGAAATATATATAATATAAACACTTTTTAATTCTACTGAAACCACATTAAATAAAAACTTTAAAACATTATACTTCTATAAATTTTCCACTTTTAATAATTAATATCTCTGAAACTATCACCCCAAAGGGTATAAATGTTTTATTTGAATCTCCAAAAAAAGACGGGGTACAATTTAAAAAAATGGCCGATTACGTCAGAGATTCTGCAAAAATGGCGGAAAATATTTTGTGCTCTATGTTTATGCTCATGTTCACGCTTTACTTAGACGCGTATAATTTCGTGCGTAGCAGGAAGGGGCCAAAGTAAGAAGTTGCAACGCCATTACTTACATATTAAACAAGAAGTTAAACAGGCAAATGCCGGCATAAAAGGGCTGTTCAACCGTTAAATAGGGGCGACAGTCACTCTCGAATACGAACTACCTGGTTTAAATAAGATCTCCGCTTTATTTCTCTGTATAAGTTTAGCTTCTTCAATGTTTACATGGTAGGATTATCTTTAACGACGCCTATTCACACTTGCAAAGGGACAATTTTACTTTTACACTCTGAGAAAATAAACATAAGTACTTGGGAGTTTGTTAGTTAAATTGGTTTGTTAGCAATGCCGGAATAATATTTTCTTGTAATATTCACTTGGAAAGTATTCTTGAAACATTTCGTGTACCACACCCTTCAAGTAAAAGGTGTAGCATATTTATGATATACAAACTTCGAGGGGTCAACCACCCAAAGGGAAAACGTCCAGGGATTCCCATGTATTCCCATTATATTTTATTGTATTCCTATGTATTTCCATTGTATTCCTATGGTATTCCCCTCTAAAATGTCCAGGGATTCCCAGGTGTGGGTGACCCCTCGACAAACTTATTCAATAAAATATAAAAAAAATTACAATTTTGGGGGTCACAAAGGGGGGTGAAAAAAAGCCTTCAGAAGTCATTAAATCGCGAATTCAGCACGTCTTCGTTTTACAATTCTAATCTGAAAATGGGGATTTTATTTTTAACTGCGGTCGTAACAATTTTATATCCTTTGATATTGCGGTTGGGGTATGTTTAACTCAGTGTTAAATTAGAAGGGAGTTTGTACTGTTTTGTGCTTACAAACTTGTATTTTTTATAGTAAAAAAAATAATGAAAAAAACGTTAAAATATACAATACACTCAATAATATCCACATGCAAAGTTTAGGCATTTGGCTGACAAATTGTTTGGTCAAAATTGACTAAACAATCCGTTATTTTAATTAATGCAACCTAATTGCAGTATTCTCACTTTGGATGAATCGAATTGGACATCGAACCCATTAGAAATTGAAATGTCCCGCAATTTCGCCTGCAATTGCCGGTCGTTACTGCATTGTCCTGCTTTTAAACGTCTAATGAATTAGTCCTGCATCCTGCATACACCTGAACTCTTGGCGTTTAATAAAATTTTCTT